AAGCTGGTGAATCAGAAAAGCAAAAAAAAAAATGTAGGATAAGTTGGAAAAATATGAACGTGGTGAAAACGTTTCTAGAGACCTGTATCCATGAGATTTCTGTAAACGGGCGGGAAGGTAGTAGTCTGAAAGCACTCTCTTGGAAGAAAGTTGCTGACGTTTTGAATGTGACTCACAAGTTTTTTGTTGACCGGAGGCAAATGAAAAATCATTAGGATTATCTGAAAGGGAAATATGGAGCCTGGTTACTACTCAAAAATAAAACGGGCAATGTGTATGACCCCTCCATCAACACATTTAATCTTACGCCCAAGGAATGGGGGAGATTGAAATTAAGGTAATTTTTTTCTAAAAGACACCTTTATTTATTTCAATGTTCATATATTTCATATACTTTACATTTTTTTCAACACAGAAAAATAAGTACATTGAAACTTTGAGGACTACATCGCTTCCTTTTCCCGAACTTTGTGCACAACTATTTGATGGGTCTGTTGCAACGAGCGTTGAGAGTTGGGGACCAACTTCAGTTGAACCTATGCCACATGGACATACTTTATCTGATGGTCCAATTGTGGTCGAAGAAGAAGTGGAATTCCAAGGTGCCCAAGGTATGTCTACATCAACAGGTCAATGTTCAACCCACAAGCAATCTAAAAAAATCAAAACTAAGGGCAAAGAAGCAAATTCAGCAATTGATGAAGAATTTTTAAGCGTGATTCGTTTAGTTGCTTCAAAACATGGGAAGCCCGAAGCACCTTCGAAGGCCGAAGCACCAACTTTTGATGACTGCATGAATAAGTTAAACATGCTTGGATGGGAAGGAGATAACCCACTCTACGGAGTTGCCCTCGCAATCTTTTGTGATCCAAATGATCTATATCGTGAAGCATGTATGAAAATTGATGTGGATCACCTTCCGAATTGGGTCACAATGATTGGGAAAAAATTAGGATTTATATAAGTTGTTAATTTCTCATAAGTTTGTTTAAACGTATTCAAGACAAATTTGGTATTTATGACTCTTGTTTGTTTTTTTGGATGAATTATGACTCTTGTTTGTTTTGGATGAATTAGTACAAACAACGCCTGATTCGGTTCAAAATTTGTCAAACCGGCAAAAACGTTTAAGATATATTTTTCCGGTATGTTCTCTTTTGTAGTTTTTATTCAGAGTTATATGTAAAAAGTATAGATTAAAAATTTTCACTATGTTATGAAGGGAGCAATTGGAGCACTAGATGGAACTCTTGTACACGCAATTGTGCCTGCTGAAAAGCAAACTATTTATAGAGGAAGAGGAGGGGGTCGGTGTTATCAAAACGTTTTAGGAATTTGTGATTTCAACATGATATTCACTTTTGTTTGGGCTGGTTGGGAAGGAATAGCACATGATTCTCGAGTACTAACGCAAGTTGTATTTAATCCTAATTACGGCTTTCCACTTCCTCCACAAGGTGCGTATCATTGTTTATTCTTTCACTAAATGATTTTAATTAAAATATAAAAAATAACGCTGAATTTGTTATAGACAAATATTATCTATGTGATGCTGCATATGCAAACACGCGTGGATTTCTGGCTCCATATCGTAACACAAGGTATTGGTTAGTAGATGCATCCACGTTGTGCATTGACTAAAGAAGAAAAATTCAATCATGCGCATGCACAACTCCGAAATGTGATTGAACGTACTTATGGTGTCTTGAAAGCAAGGTTTCCAATCTTAGAACATATGGCTTCTTATCCATTTGCGATACAAAGGAATGTGGTGATTGCCCGTTTTGCCGTTCATAATTTCATTAGAAAGTCAAACATTTATGATAATTTTTTTGATGAATGGGATGATGACAACATGGTCCACAATGAAGCACATGAGCAAGCTAAAGATATTGGAGAAGAAGTGCATGTAGCACAATGGGGTACACAAAGTCTACAATATATGACGAATTTGCGGGATGAAATTGCTAATAGACTAGTTTAAATTTAAAGTGTTGTTCTCATTAAATGCTTGACTTTTTTCTTATCATGTAATGCGACTTTTTTATTTTATTAAACCATATGAAGTTATGTTTCAGAAACAAAGAAAGTAAACAGACAATATACATTCAGCACTTGTTCCAAACAGAAGGGTTATATAGTCATTTGACGTGGTTCAGACTTTTCATTCAGCACACATAGTAAACAGTTATCCTACTGTCACTTAATCCAGACAGACAACTTAATGAAAAAAAAAAGTAAACAACCCCTTAGACACGTTGTCATACACAATCTATTCAGCCAAATTTGAACTCCTAAAAATGGGCTTTGACATGCTGGCACTATGGATTTTAATTTATTGTAATCCATAAAATAAACAGAGTTTTACATATTTCTGTTTGATTAACAGAATAAGCATCCCACACTCCTCAAGCAAAATGAATACACTAGGCAAAGCACTGAAACAATATTACAGAAAATATATCATTGAATCAAACTTTCTGTTATATTACCAAAAAAATTCACAAAACAAAATCATTACAAAGAGCACAATGTGTCAATTTACATGAAAAACTCGGGTCTTTCTACATCAGTCTCCCATGAACAGATGATGGTCTCTAGTCAGATGGTTACTCATCCAGCATATAACACAGATAACCAATGCATCATCCTGCAACTTGCTTTTTCTAAAGACCTCACCTCTGCCACCTTCTCTCTGCAATGCAAAAATAAATTTCAGATTTCAAGAGAAAAGGTGTATGCATTTAGGGTTAGTTAGGGAATTGGACAGCAGAAAGGGTAAACTTTGAAGGGCTAAGTGTACATATTGATATATATTTGAGAATTGTTAAAAATGAAGGCCAAACATAATAATATATGATAATACAATATTTCAATCTCCTTCATTCGTTTTTAGACATTCTATTTACCAAAATATATACCAGCCAAAGATACCCGAAGGTGAAAATAAATCCTGGTCCACCACATGTGTGTGTGCAAAATAAAAAAGCTCCAGGATAAAAAAAAAAGTGTGGTTCTGTTCAAACTTAAAGAAATTCATTATGGAAGAAGATCATGGTTTATTCGGCTATTCATTCCTGTGCAATGGAATGCCATAAAAAACATGGATGTATAGAGAACAGTTCATAAATGCATTGAGGATAAAATAAACTAAGTCAAGTGGCATGGCAACAGATCTATCATTTCAAGATGTTCAAACTTAGAACTATTACTGATCCCACCATTCCCACCTATCACGCGGTGACTTCTCCTTGACACACCGCTGACCTAAAAATGTCCTGGTCTGACCAAGATGGGTAATAAGAGAAGATATGTTTTACTAATGACTTTCTAATCTTCTCTTTAGTTTGAGTTGACCTAAAAATTTGTCATCCGTGCAAGGATATTATTGTTATCTTAAGCAAAAAAAAGTTACCAACAGAAATATGTAGATTAGGACCGACCGGAAAAAGACTGTAAAGTAAGGAGATTAAAAGAGGGTGGAGGGTGTGATTTACAAGACCCCTAAATCAGCATACAAGTAGATCAAAGGGAAAAAGGGTTAAAAATACCTTGAGGAGAATGAGTTGGGTTTCCTTTTGCATTCTGTTGTGCTTGAGACAAAGATCGCTGAATATGAGGTGATCCCTGTCGTCCATTTGAATTAGGTAGAGAATGTCTCTTTTTAATGCTATAAGTTTCCTTGTTATGTGCATCTGGACTTGATCTTGGAGAGATGCTTAATATGGCCTTTGCTTTTGCTGATTCTGTAGCTTGCATGTAACTCGGAAGGGAACTGCTGGCATTGCTATCCCTAGGTTCCTGCTGATCCACATTTTGTTCACTTTTTGCAGAACCAAACGATCTTCTTCTTTTCCCACCTTTATGATCCTTATCCTTATTGGGTAATAATTGGTGCAAACTAGTTTTAGTCACTGCAGTATCTTTCTTAGGGTTTGAAGATGAAATGTTATGACGCTTGTTGCTGTTTGGTCCATTTTTTTCACTACTTCTCACCTTCGGTTTTACTGAAGATGCCTCTTTACTAGGAGTTGTACCTTGGGATTCAAGAAAAGTTACATGGCTTCTTGGAGATTCAACATCTGCATGCTCAACGGTTATGTCTTTTATTGGCGTGAAATCTGGGGTCCCCACAGTTCCATCGTTTGGGAGTTCATTGTGGGAAATTGTCTGATCAAGAGAGTCAATATGCACATCCTCGGTCCTCTCATGATGATAATCTTGAATTTTTATCTCGTACCTATCTGGGGAATCAAGTGTGGAAGAAATGGAGAGTTCAGTGCTGCATTCAGATCCTGCAACTACAAGAACGGGAGTGTGTAAACCAGTAAAATTCTCGGTTAAATGCTCTGTTTCATGTAAACCAGTTGAATTCTCTGTTAAATCCTTCATTTCCTGTACACTGACTGAACTCTCGTTTAAATGCTTGGTTTCAGTCTCTTGACTGGACAAATTGGTTGGGTTTCCTGCTGAGCTGGCCAGTAAACTTCGTTCTTCAAAATTGGACTGAGCCGCAATAAATACAGGAATACTACTTTCCTCTTCAGATCCAAAAAATAAATTATGCTCATCCCCATGCTCAGTTTCAGTCTTAATAGGGAAATAGTCATTTTCTTCTGATGCCTCTAAACTTGATTCAACGGTCTTACTCTCAGATTGAATTACGGCGGCTTCTTCCAGAAGGCTGTTGTCTAATAAGTGATCAATATCTTTCTTCTTCTCCACCTGTTCTGTAGTCGTTTGTGAACTTGGGGACAACCCTGTGGAGACAAACATCCATCTCTCTAACCACACCCATGCTGAGTCTGGTTTTGAAGGATCACACTTGATACCTATAGTTTTTGCCCTTGAAGATGAAGACTCCAGAAGCTTTCCAGAACAAAAAGTTCAGCATTAGAGGGGAGCAGAGGATGAAAATGAGCATGAATGTAATTCTACATAACTCCATGTTACATTGTTACCTGACGAGCAAACCTATTGCTTAGTAATTTTTCGATGGAAAGGTAAGAGCTTTCTAACTTCTTGCTAGAAATTTGGGTTTCCTGAAGATAAAAGATAGAATAATCAATAAAAGATTACTACGTATTACCAAGCAAAAACGATAGCTTGTAATGCCTAAGACACAATATCTATGAGATTCAACAATTAATCTATTTATTACTATGCATTATTTATAATTACATGTTTCCTGAATAAATGTTCCTTCTCTGCTGTTTGACATGAAGAGGGATGTTCTTGAGTGGAATAACATCCAGAGATATTGTTAAAGAGCATTATTATTACCATGTAGTATTATCTAATTAATCAAAGTACACCCTTAAATCATAATCATGACATGAACTTAATTACCCCATTTGAAGATTTATGGCCACGGCGAGCTCTAACAAGAGCTTGCATTTTAACAATGGCTTGAATACACCGTAGAGTTCCCGCAGCTTGCCTCCTAACTACTAGTCCACGAATTGCAGCTTGTAGTTTGATTGCATTCTTATGCTTCAACAGTGAGATTTGAGCCTAGAGAAGTATAAATAGAATTATTGTATACTACCTCTATCACATAAAGTTTGGCACACACAGTTTGTAACGAATATAACATACCCCAGTATTATGAAAAAGTCAAACTATTTGGTTTGAACTGAATTTCTACGAGCACGAAAGATTTCGAGCCACAAAATGTGTTCAGTTTGGTATGGGACAAAGTGACAAACATATCAAGATAGCCTAAAATGGAAAGTACAAACAAAATAGGATGGAGAGATTCATCAAAAGTCCATCTGCATTTTGCCTATCAAATTCAATCATTTCTTTTAGCATTTGATTGTTTGAAGAGAAAGAGGAAAGAGAAAAATAGGGGAGAATTCACAATTTTCCCTTGTTTGGTTTGCAATGAAAATGGAGAGAGACAGAGAACAATTGTTGGTCTCCCAGCCTCTCTCTCCCCTCTTATGGGAAGAAACAGAGGGAAGAGTCCTTTTATTAACTATACCATCTCTGTGTTTTTTATATCATTTTCAGTTCAAGTTCTTTTTGTATTTTTTATAACATACACTTCTTTATACTCTTTTTCTTTCTTACTCCTTTACTAGTAAACAATTATATGCAATCCATCCTCTTTCTCTCATTTCTCTATATTCTCTAGCTCTCTATTAGCTAATTCTTTCCTCAAATAGAATAAAAAATACCAGAAACCCTCTGATAGAAGTCTGGATCACAATAATATCTGACTCCTTCATGATTGGCTCAATTTTATAACCATTTACTTCACTAGCAACAGTTTCCAATGATTTGTCATCCATTGATGGTGGAGACTGGGGTTTCTCATCTGTACACTCAACAGGTTCTTTGGCATTGATCTTGTCTGCAACACCAGATGGTAGTTCAGTCGAATTCTTTTCTGGAAAATTAGGGTTAAGTTGTTCTGTGGAGGACTTGGTTGGAATAGAGGCGTCAGGTTGTATTTGGGAGTTTATGACTGCTGCTGCTGGGCTGTCTTTGATTCCAGATAGTGTTTCTGAGATCGTCAATGTGTTACTCAAAACACGATGCCTTTTAGATCTTTTCACGAAACTCCATCCCCTCTGATCACTAGAACACTTGGACTGCAAATAAAAATAATGAAATTACACAATGAGCAGATTATAATTCCAGATGTCATTTCTTTGTAAAGTATATCATTTTCCACTACAAGGGGATCTTAGTAATTTTTCTTTCCTATGACTTGCTTGTTACTCCAAAAATACAAGAATGTTTTTTAAATGTGTGAAAGCACCATGGAATATTATAAAGGAGATTTCCTCTAGAAATTCCTTTAGGGTCCATTTGGAAACCTGGAAAATACTAGGGAAAATACTGGGCAAAATAGAGGAACTTTGAAAGGAAAGTGTTTTTTTTTGGGGGGGGGGTCCAATTTTAGTCCCAACTGAATAAATCAGATCTAAATAATTGTTGGGGCTCGTGTTATTAATACATTTGTATTATACCTAGACTAGACAACTAGACTAAGAAATCAAATAAATGTAATTAAATTTTGCTATATTAATACATGGGCTACTCCTCCTATAAGATTGACCTTTTTACTTTTTAGGATGGAATCCCAGATCTTAACAAATTTTATTCTCTTGAGTTCTCCAAGGAGAAACCACTAACACATCAAAGGTCACTTTCCCAAGCATCTTTTTCCTTTCTCTACCATTTTCAGGATTCAAAATCAGCCTAAAGGTAAGTTTACATCCATAGAAATGCTGTTTAGTCCCAACTCCCAAGCCAATAACATGTAACTGTAATATTATGACATCTTAAGCTATCTCTAACACAAGACTTAATTTTCTACTATTTAGACAAATGCTACTCCTATTTTTCAATAAAAACAAAAGAAAGCAGAATAGGAGGGGTAGAAATGCACACGAAAACTTTCTATAAGTATAGAAAACATGAACTGGAATGCCATTTTGACAACTTAATTACAACCAATCTGATTGGATTAACAAAGATGGATGGTCAGCTCATAATGATAGAGCAAAAAAGGTATTGATTTGCGTAATCACAACATAAGTAAATATTCAGGTCAAGATAACTCAATTTTTGGAAACAGTTTCCTTGCCTGAAAAGTAAAAAACACTTACGGATCCACTAGTCTTGAGAAGTCATAAAAAATCAATTCATTACAACCTCATAATTACTTTAAACTAGTCAATTTTTATTTTACATAAATAGGAAACAGCTATCAGCAGTCATCACATTGCACATTTTGATAATGCGGAAGACAGATCTTAGCAGCGATTTCGAACACATCTAAGCTGCAACAACTAAAGAATCGATCAAGCAGCTAAATACGAGATCTGAAACTAAACATGGAAACAACTGTAGTAGGTGATTATACCTCAGGAGCTTCAAATCCATCACTTTCAGTAGAATCAGTTCTAGCACAAGTGAGCATCTTGAAGCAAGTTGCTGCCGATCTTCCCATTTTCGATCCTTTCAATTTTGCTCAGCCTCTCCCTTTTTTTTTTTCTCTCTCTCTCTCTAACTGCCAGAGCAGAGCCTATGGATATGGTGTTTCGTTATTGGGAGTTGTATAAACAACTGTCAAAGAGGAGTAAAAAAGAGCACCGGCTGTTAGACCGCGGACCCCAATGCACTCCTAAAATCCAGCTCACTCATGTGCTTCAAATCCGCACCCATCTTTCTGGATCATGAACAAACTTACGGTGCTGCAAAATGAAAAATATATACACTGATCTGCCGTAAAATTTGCAAGCAGTGTGGATCTTCTATACCCCCATGCTTCTGGCAGCCATTATTCATCTTCGCTTCTTCGTACTTTTTTCCGCAGTAAAAGTTAAAACGCGGGACCCTTATTCACAAAATTTAACTATGTGAATACTGAATACATCGTATGAATAAGGGTCAGTTTGGTACTCGAAGTTGCAAAAAAGGTGTCAAATAAGTCCTTATATAGAAGATTATGTCCGGATGTGCCATTTGAGGTGGCTCCCGATGGAATTTTTTGATAAATTTTTTTGAGCATCTTATTCATTAAGTCTAGTTTACTCATACCAAATTTCAGCTAAACATTCAATCGGAAAGACATTCAAATGAATTCTTGAAGATAATTGCGCTTTTAACGGCACAATTATCTTCAAGAATTCATTTGAATGTCTTCCCGATTGAATTTGTATCTGAAATTTGATATGAGTAAACTAGACTTAATGAATAAGATGCTCAAAAAATTTCATCAAAAAATTCCACTGGGAGCCACCTCAAATGGCACTTCCGGACATAATCTTCTATATAAGGACTTATTTGACTCCTTTTTTGCAACTTCGAGGACCAAACTGACCCTTATCCCAAAAAGATATCTCTAGTTGGAGGGACATGATTGGTCGTCTGCCCGTCCGGTCGCCATCGTTTGGGTGGTTCCCGACGAAATTATTTGATGATTTTTTTTGAAAATGTTCTTCATCAGATATAGTTTATAATGTCAAAATTTCAGTTAAAAATTCAATCGGGAAGGGATTCAAATGAATTTTAAAAAAATAACTGCGTTTTATATGTATATTTTGGCGTCGTAATCTTCAAAATTTTATTTGACTGTCTTCCCGATTTAATTTTTAGCTGTATTTTATTTCCTGATTAACTAGACTTGATGATGAACATGAACAAAAAAAATCATCAAAAAATTTCACCGGGAACCGCACCAATCGACTGTTTCGAACCAGACTCGAATTCTATCACTTCAAAAAAAGCAAAATGAATTGTTGATCCAATAATGGGGTTAACAGGGTCATTAACGGACGCAATAGACATTTCATCATCCAACCTAAACTCGGGAGTTTTGCTAGTAGAAATAAAGAAAACAAACCACAATATCATTCATTTCGTAAAGAAAAAATAAAAATAAGAACAAGGTAATTAAAATAAATCCAAATTAGAAACAACATCTTCCAAGCTCTAACCACAAGACTTCTCAACGGCGGCGGTTCGAGAGGGGGATGGAGTGGAAATCATGCTTCTTCTTCCTCTCCTTTCTCTGCTACTGATTAACAATGGACTCCATGATTTTATAGCCGTGTTGAGCAGTTGAATACGAACCTGCGACAAAAATAAAGCATGCGCAAGGCTGAAATTCTCTGACCGCACAAGTCTAGAATGGTCGGCGGAAAACTAAACCCCATGTGGGGGGAAGGCAGCACAAACGCAAAGAGAACTTTTGATGTCTACTAAGGGTTGCATCTATATATATTCAAATAATAAGAATAGTGATTATATAGAATAATTGTTAATGTACTTGCCAGAAAATAAGAAGGTAAGTTAAATAACTTAAATCTTCACATAGTAAGATCCGGATTAAATCCCGACGAACTGATGAAAAAATGAATAACGATGACACGATTCAGACAAAGTGTCATGCCTGATCGTGAGGAGGAGTGTTAAAGTCCCACACCAGAAAATTTGGAAGTAATTAAGTGTTACATTAAGACACGAGCTACTCCTCCTATAACGATGGAATCTCGGATCATAACATTGAATTGACATATAGTTTGTATATTCGTATCACTAATAGTCATTTTGAGTTTTAATAGTTGTGAACAATTAGATTACTAAGCACTTCGGGAGGTTTGCATCTGATTAAAAAAAGTGCTTTTCAGCTTTTGGATTAAAAAAGTTAAAAAGAGTGTTTTCAAATGACAGCTTCTACTTAAATTAATCACTTAAAAGCTAAAAGCTGGAAGCAGGTGGAGGGGTGCTTTAAACTGCTTTTCACTTTTTCTATTACACAAAAAGTACTTCTTTTACCAAACACTACCAACTTTTACTTTTTCAGAGTCACTTTTTCTTCAAACACTACCAACTTTTACTATTAATCACTTTTCCCAAAATCACTTTAAAAAATCACTTCTTTAAAGTTGAAGCAATTGCAAACGCTCCCTTCATTTCGATTCGCTGATAATAGCGGCAAGTTAAAATAGCTAACAAAAACCGCTTATATCAAACAATCAATATAATCGGATATTCACTAACAACAAATAACCGATTGCTAAACACCCAGAATGCGAATAGAAACGACCGAGATTGAACAACTTCCGATGTGTGGGATTGAGTAAAAATGTGGGTAGAAATGATGAGCAGATCCAGTTTGAAATTGAACAATTAAATTAAGTTGTAATAACTCCAAATATTACTAAGCTTTCTTAAAACTTTTTAATAAAAAACAACCACAGGGAGGGAAATTAGAATGTTTTCTTTTGGACTGTTTTCACTCACATACTAGATCAGATCAAGTCATACTTCCGTAGTTATAAAATATACAGAGACCAGACATATATCAGATCAGATCAGAACAAACCAATTCAGATCAGATCAGACCAAACCAGACTAGACAAACAAATTTCAATCCAAAAGAAAACACCCTTAACCTCCACCTGAAAAGTTACTCTCAAAAGTCATACTCCGGGTATAATATTTCCTAAAACCTACCCCATCCACGATTAACACTGCCAAATATTCTGCAAATTATTGTCCAGGTGCGTATTGACTTTCTATTGACTATTCTAAACATTTATAATTAATCTCTGTGTGACAATATAATGTAAGTCCCAATATATTTGACTCTGACTAATCCCTCATTAATCATTTGACTCTTAAGTGTTTGGCTGGATACTAATACGATAGTTTAAAATCGCGATATTATTTAGACTCACAATGGAACTTTAATTTTTTGCAAAAATAATGAAATGTGGAGCCTTATCCAGTTTTTTTTTTTTTTTTTTAAGTAAGCCTTAGCCAGTTAATAATAACTACTTGAACGAAAAGACAATACTACGGTCTATATTTAAGCCTGTTCAGTCGAAGTTATCACACCATTTTGAGAAGTAGGTGAACCCACATGTTATAAGACTGTTCATTAATCATGCGGAACCCATCCATGATCCATGTACGTTCTTTTTTGGTATACTTTTCGGACAATTCATGTAGTCACTTCCAATTTTGAAAAGTATTTGAGTTAGTAAGTGAAATAAAATTCATGCGGTTGTACATATTTTTTCTACATAATTTTTTGTACCACGAACTAGTATTTCCGCTCGTAAACAGATTGTTTATTTTTTGTAAATGAATACATTATTCATAGAAAACACATATTCGATACATGTTTTGTCTGTCAACAAGTTATTTACATATTAAAAGTAGTTTGTTCACAGTTCACATGTGTAGATCAGTGAAGGAGGTGAGTAGAAAATGTGTATAAAGAGTTGTTTTCAAAAAACTTACTCCGTGTAATCTAGTTGAAGAGCTTAAAATAGAGATCAATTCAGTCATACGGATTTCGTAGTAGTGACTTTCAATTTGAGGTTTATATTCAATACACGAAATAATGAGAATAATCTATGCAGTTATCTAAGAATATAATCAGGAGAAAATGACCTCGATCTTTTTTGAAAACAAGAAAATGCATGGCCTCGATTAGAATAGCTTAATAGTGTCAATCCAACTTTTCTTCATTGCCTTATTTTTTGTACATTTTATTTTATTCTAAACGATAGCTCTTAATTCACTACTACATTTTAGGGCCTAATGTAACATTAAAATTGTAACATTTGGTTAAAAGTGTTACAAAAAACATCCTATTGTAATGCTTGTTAATATATTGTTACATTTATCTAGTAACCGTTACATTTGATTTGGTCTAATGTAACATTATTGTAATGTTATATAAACCGTTACCTTTTTTTAAATAATTGTTACATTTAATGAAGCCTATTGTAACGCTTGTGTTATATGGCAATTATATTCGAACTAAAATAAAAGAGCGGCAAAGGAATATATCAAAATTAAGATGGGAAAAGTAGCGCCAAAGCTAATAATTTGCGCCACAACTACAATCTAAATAATAATTGTCTAAAATCTAAATAAAATCGCCGCCACACCCGGGAAGACTCAGATGTGATTCAAGAAAAAAGTTAAACCCTAACAAGATAACATGATCATCTCGCCTAATTTCTTCGCGTCCGAATGAAAACCCTTCCTTCTGGAGCAAATCGATTCCTCCCTCCCATAGATAACATGAGTGCGGCCTTGAAGTGGCGTGAGACATTTAAGAGTAAGTTTTTCAATTCTTAATTTTGTCATTTGACTACCTCGCTATCTCGTACAATCTGATATTTTCGCTGACCTTGTTCTCTTTGTAAGAATATGCTCGAATTATTAGTCAAAATTCTACATAATTTGATTCGATGCAGACCTATTTCTCTTATGTTCATGGAATTTCAAAAACTGATTTGTGTAGCTTCAATTCAGGGTTTCAATTTGATCAGTATTGCTATTCTTGTTGAGACAAAAGAGTTGAAGCTCCATTCCCCGTGTGTGATTATGCTATTATGATTCTTGGATAATTTTTCAAGTTTAATTTCAGAGGTATGTTGCTCTAGCTTGTTTAGTTGATGAATCTTACATTCCAGTTAACTACAACCTATGTGTTTCTTTCATTGTCTAGTCTTTTTTACTACAATTTAGTGATAAATCTCAAGTACTTAGATTCTAAACCTGTACTGATTTCAAAACA